TTTTAGGGGGCAAGTATCTAGAGCAAGGGGAAAGGAGATGACTAGCATGCAGGCAGATAAGCCACTGGCCAAAGCGACAGATCTGTACTTTTTCTCCAGTTTAAATTGTTTAGACTTGGTACTAGTCATTTACCACAACTGAGAGACGGGGTTGATTGATTTTTGAGCCTTAAGGTGGTCAGCCATATGAAGCCACCTTGGATCTTTTTAAGGAGAAAAATGGGGTGGAATGAAGGGAGAGAGGGAGGGAGGAAGGAAAGTTACTGCCTGTGATCATCTGTCTTGAGATAAGACTGACTCTGCCTTGTATTCCAGAAATTTTTCCACCCTCCAGCTATTTGCACATCCCCAATAAATAAAAAAAAAACCAAGTGTGTGATCTTTGTAGTTCTTGGCTCATAATGCTTTGCAGTCTTGCTATAGGAGACAAAACCATTATAGACTCTTTCAAATGCAGGTAAAAAATCAAGAACTGCTAAACCTTACCCAAGGGATAAAACTAGGAAGGAAGTAAAGTTTTATTTAGATGTTATAATGTTTGGGTCCATTAACATATTGAGAGGAGAGCAGCTAGGCTTACTCCTCTCCATCATCACCCTTCCCATATGATCAATAAGTCTGAACAGAAGAAATTCTTAATTTGCCTGTAGGTGTTATATGCAGGTAAGAAATTCTCCCTCTTGAGACTCAGTATCATTACCTGAACAAAGTGACAATCTAGAGCAGTGGTTCCCAACCTTGGGTCCTCAGGTATTCTTGGACTACAACTCTGAGAAATCCTGACCATCATAGCTAGTGGTGAAGATTTCTGGAAATTTTAGTCCAAGAACATTTGGGGACCCACAATTGAGAACCTCTGATTTAGAGGGTGGGGTTAGGTAGTCCTCTATAAGTCTCTCAATAAAGTCAAGATAAATGGCTGAAAAGAGTTTAAGGCTATATAGATGATGCATCCATCATACTACCTGAACCATCTACCACCCTCTGCTTGGGAACCGCTTGAAGGGATACCACACAGAGAAAGGAGATGTGAAGCTGCTGGCCCCATTTCACAGCGTGATGTTGTGCATGGACGTCTGAAGGAAAACCTACACAAGTTTCCCAGAGCTTAGAAGCATTACTTATTTCTGCACAACAGTTCCTAGAGTCTGCAATCAATGCATCACTGGAGCTGTACACCAACAAAGTTACTTATTCAGGTTCTATACTTTCTATATTATTTGGAACTCTGATCACTAATTTATTTCAGATGTACAGCAAATAACATAGATTTATTAATTAGCTGCCACCGATTTATTTAAGAAATCCAATAAATGGCGTAATACCACTCTGTGTGTGTGTGTGTGTGTGTGGTGAAGCAAGCGGGTAACCTCTTGTCACATATTTTAAAATTCAGCCTGCTTCAGGAAGTTTTTGCTTTTGTGTGTCAGAAATTGCAACGCATAGCCTCTAATGAAATGAGAACAGAAACAGTAGACTATGGTGAAAGTTCCAAAACCGCAGCAGGAATTGGGGAAGCGATGACAAGTGTGGCTTTTCGTAGCTGGACTGACATCAAAGGCTTTGTCCAATATTTGCCCTTGGTAGTCACGCTGTCACAACCCACAAAGCCTTCACTATAACATCTGCTATGGCAAGCCTGAGTATTGGGGAAATGATTATTGCCTTGCAATGCAGGCTCTTCTAAGAGTAAAAGCCTATAAACACAGCACAGAAAGTCAGTAACAATTGTGAGTTTATCATTTCGATAGTGGTAGAGGAATGATTGCTTGAAAAAGTTCACGGTAAAATTGCAAGGGGAATGGTTCCTTCTAGCTAGTCATTTTGGCATCCTCAGAAACAGCCACTTTTGTCTCCAACTGCAAATATTTGTGATAGCTTGTGCTTCAAAGCTGGAAGAACCTAATTTTGTTTTAGTGATTCGCCAATCTCCTGCGATTCTCCCAACATCCTTATTGCTACTATCTTAGGTTTGCTTCCTTCCGCTGTCAGCCCCGTGACAACAACACTAGCTGAACTCGCGCTAATAGCACAAGAGAGACCACAAACCTGGTGGAAGGAAATGGGGGGGGAGAGAAATGAAGCCAAAGCTGCAAATGCGAGGAAAGTGAAGGGTCTGGCAATCAGAGACAAGAGAGCTAAAGGGGGAATAATACAGAACCAAGCAGAAAGGAGAAAACAAACAAGCTACCATATTTTTCCATGTATAAGACGTCCACATGTATAAGACGGCCCCCACTTTTCTAACCCCAAATTAAGAAATCTAAGTGAGGCTTAGCAAGTGTACACTGCAGGATCGCTATGATCCCTGCTTTTCCCTCCACTTGTGTTTCTTCTCTCCTCAGCTTACTTCCGTGTATAAAACAACCCTCAATTTTTATTCTAAAGTATAGTCTTCTACACCGAAAAATACGGTAGTTCATGGAATGCTACACAACAAGTCCAATGCATTGTATTTTTGCTGAAAACATGCCCACATCCAGTAAAGATTAACGAGGAAGAAATAAAATAAAATTTAAAAGTAAGTAAGTAAGTAAGTAAGTAAGTAAGTAAGTAAGTAAGTAAGTAAGTAAGTAAGTAAGTAAGTAAGTAAGTAAGTAAGTAAGTAAGTAAGTAAGTAAGTAAGTAAGTAAGTGCCATTGATCCACCATCTGGTCATCTCCCCAGAGTCTTCTAGATATAAAGTACACAGAAGTGCATTACGAGGTCCTCCTCTTGGTGTAACCCCGGCACCATGTCACTTGCAGGTGCTAAGGCATGTAACCCCATCAGACACAGAGGCCCTGAGTGATCTTGGCTGGCCCTTCTCCTTGGAGCCAGAGTGCAAATTCAAAATCCCACTTCCTGGCTCTGCAACCAGGAGCTCCAACCCACCAAGCAATACCGGCTCTGAAGGAGAGAAAAAACACCTACCTGGAAATGAAAACAAAAGAAAGCACCACGTGCTCTTTTCTTTGTGTGTGGACTAAGAGAAACATTTGTCATCCCAAACAATAAATATAACAAACAACGATAACCATCTAAAAGCTGCTAAAACATGTTTTTTTAAAAAACTGCTGGTACATTTCTAGTATCAATTTGTGTGCAAAACAAGTCAATGTTGACATAGTGACTCCTTTCCAGGGTTTTCTAGGTAGAGACTACTCAGAATTAGTTTAAGATTCCTTTCTTCTGGGCACACCCTAGGACAGGGTGGCTTACCCACAGCCACACAGGCTGGGTCTTCTGGAATGTTCCACGGAGACATTGAACTTCCAAACTGTGGCCCCCTCAGCCAGATACATAAAGCATACCTAAACCCCACATCGGCAAATCATTGGGAATATATAATTTGAACATTATAGTTAAAAGGAGCCTAGCTTGTGTGGATAAAATTACAAAATTCACCAGAGAGGAATCCTAGAATAGCTATGTAGCAGGAGTTTCAATTTGGCCGGGCCTGACGTTTTTCTGTGTAATTTGCATTAAAGTTAATGCAGCCCTGGTTCAGGCCTTGCAGATTCTGGAGACAAGGACGGCATCTCATTTTGGTTTTTCCTGAAAGCAGAACACTGTTGATCATTTCATTTATTATTACTATACCTTTACTGCCAGGGAAAGAGCAGGACTGGAATCCAAGCCCTATGAGGAAAGACTTAAAAGGACTGGGCATGTTTAGCCTTGAGGAAAGAAGACTGAGGAGAGATATGATCACACTCCAAATACTTGGGGGGGAAAAATGTCTGAAGAAAGGCATGGTCGGTCCTTGATCATCCCAGAGTGCAGGACACATAATAATGGGCTCAAGTTACAGGAAGCCAGATTTCAGCTGAATATCAGGAAGACAATGGAACCAATTAATTAAGAGTGACGTTGAGTGCTCCAATGTTGGAGGCATTCAAGAGAAATTTAGACAACCACCCGGCATATAACCTTTGATTTGTATTCTTGCACTGAGCAGGGGGTTGGACTCAATGGCTTTACAGACCCCTTCCAACTCAATTATTCTATGATTCTAGGAGATGCAGGACTTTCTGATTCATGTGCCAAAGAAATCTGGTTGGCTTTAGATATCATGCACTGTGACATGGATTTTGTTTCCACCTCAGACAGCAAAATGACTTTCCCCAGGTCTGCTTCTTTCTACATGATTGCCCTTATTTTTACAACCCCTATTTGTTTAACTTGCCTTTCGGGACTCATGAAAAAGAGCCAGCCAATGCTCAGATTTTTGGCCAAATACTTTTACTTTAAAATCATTCTAAAGGGGACCGTTGTCTAAGATATCTATCTATGAAGAAATGCTTTGAGATACTGCTTTAAAACTTGGAAGAGAAAACAGGCATCTTGCTGGATGAAGCTATTAGGAAAGATATTATGGAAAGATATTATGGAAAGAAAGCAGAACTGCATTGTAAAGCACTGATTCATATGATGATTCACTTCTAACAGTAAAAACCAAATAAACAATCTTCCATACTTTAAATTGCTTATATAATATACAGTTTCTAATTTTCTCTAATCAGGAGCATTTAAATAATGCTTTGAAGAGTTTGCACCGCACCTTACTGAGGCTTACATCTCTGAGACGAATCTGAGATTATCTCTTAAACAACATTGCAGCTGTTTTAAAGATGGCTTTTAGCAAGAAATGACACCCAACATTTCAGGGAAGGGGACAATGTGAGAACTCTTTGCTGTCATCTGAAGCTTAGTCTTAAAAGCTATCTTAATTTCTAGCAACCAAATCATGTACCTTTTTCTGAAAATCAATTTGTTTGTCAGTTTGGGCACCCCAGTTGGGTGAACAAACAATAATTCCTCCTGTCTGGTAAAGAATAGGTAGAGTAAACTGTAAGAAATGACATGAGATGCAATTTAAGGCTGGAGAGAGCCCCCTGCAGCCTCTACAGTGAATGTAAAGTGAATGCAAAACATGCTTTTTGGTGGAGCAGTCCAGTATTATCAATTTAAAAAAACCATTGCCACCTTTCTTAACACATCAAAGACAAAACTCTTACCGTTTCCTTTGGAATTTGTGACTGGGTTTGTTCAGTATTCTAAAAGTGGGAAAGAAATTAAAATAAGAACAAGGCTGGAAAAGACATTCACTCACTCAAGAGTAGGACAAGCAAATTGTTTGATAGAACTAAGACTGGCAGGTGATATTGTGAACGAGAAACATTTTGCCAGTTTTGAAGAACACAACCTGCAGGACCCGAAAAACATTATAAAGAAGAAGAAAAATCCCAAACCTGCATGATATTTTACAGTACTAGCTAAGTGGTCATAGGAGCAGAAGCCAGTTATTTACAGCTAGAACGAGAGTAATCTAGTATTCCTTCCTCCCTCTAAGGCTGTGTCCTGAAAACACTCTGTACTGCTCTAATGAAGTGGCTGTTTTAGTTGATGCAAAAAAGTTTTCTTCAATAACAATCCCATCCTTACACAGCACAAAGTGTCTGAGACTCTGGACCACTTATAATGTGAATCCAACCTATTAGATTTATTATTTGTGCCATAACAGCATTTCTGTAAAACAAGGGAACTGGTGTATTCGACTTTACTTGAGGAGAAGCTACATAGTGCTTCATGGGCAGAGTGCGGTTTCACTTCCCAATATCCTTTCAAAAACCGCAGAAGGAAATTTGCAGCACGAAGGGGAAGGAGATTGATTCTCCCACCCCACATGGCAAGGAATATCCAGCAATGCCAATTTTATGTGTGGTTTTTGTTTTTGAGAAGGAAGCTCCAGCTCCTCCACTGATTTCTCTGTGCTTCACTTAATAAAACAGAAAGCAAAACTGCACAGCACACATTAAATGCTGGATTAGGAACCATTAAGTGTAACAAGTAGCTCGGCCCATAACTATCACAAAGGGGTGTACACCAGTGGTCTCCAACCTTGGACCTCCAAATGTTCTTGGACTACAGCTCCCAGAAGCCTTCACCACCACCTCTGCTGGCCGGGATTTCTGGGAGGTAAAGTCCAAGAATATCTGGAGGCCCAAGGTTGGGGACCGCCGGTGTACACCAACTCACGGACCAGTGAGATAAATGTCCAGTGAGATGCCATAGTCGAGTGATGGTGAACCTATGGCACGCCTGCCATAGCTGGCCCGCAGAGCCCTCTCTGCGGGCACACAAATCATAAGTCACGGGATCGCTACCCCCGGCAGCCAAATCTGACAAGGTGGCTGCAGCCACGGATGCTAGTGCCACGACAGGTGGCAGGCCAGGATCCAGAGCACCTGGCGCTGGCAGAGCTGAGCCCAACTGGAGGTGGATCTGGAGTGGGGTCTGGAGGCACCTCTGCCCAAGATGCTTCCGTCCCTGCCGCTTCTGCTTCCACCACTGTGGCCCACCACCTGCTGGTTTGTTTGTTCCCCCCCCCTCCAGTTTGGGCACTCAGGCCCAAAAAGGTTAGCCATCACTGCCATAGTCCCTTAATGTCAGGCTTCAGCTTTATTACTGAGTCTAATCCCAGGCAACTAATCCTAGGCTAAAGACTAACAGTGTAATTGTGCTCAAAGTATTGTCACTGGCCGGCTTCCAGTGTGAAACGAAATGCTACACCTCCTGAGTTTTTCCCTGGCTCTAAGCATTAATTCAGCCTGGTGAAGCACTGCACACCCAGCTCCTGCAGGTGACTACAACAGCAGTGGTAGCTGAAGCAGAACTAGACAGGAGTAAAATCCTTCCACTACCAGTCTCTGTGGCAAGCTCCCTTTCTCCCTTTTTCCTGCCAAAGAGGAGAAAAGTATACACAGACTGTCCTTAAGCTTTAAATGGGGGGAGGCAGCTTTAAAACTGAGCAAGTTAGAGAACGGAAAGGATACAACCAGCATGCTCAGTCAAACCTACTCTTTCTGTTATTGTTTATCAGACTTTGGGAAAGGAAGAAGCGGACATTGTCCCTTCTTTCTTAAGGAAAATACATGGTCAAGCCCAAGTGGTGCAGGTTTTAGGGAGGGGTGGGAGAGCATCCATAACATGGTCCATAACATCCAGCCAGGGTTTTCTCAAATCCACTAGGCAAATATGAGCAATTTGAAAAGACACTTATTTTTCTTGGTGGCTCTTCCCTTTCACACATAATGGCTTATCCCAAGGAGGCTGGGGCATTCTCCAATTACTGTTGAAAACTAAGCAGCTCTCAGGCTGCCCGTATCTATTTCCCTCTTGATCAGTTCACTTCTGCTCTAGCCATCCTCTGAGAGTCAAACAAGTTACTTCCTTAGAAGCTGAGCTACCTGAGAAAGTAAAAAATGCCTGTTTATCCTAGCTGAGGTTTGCCTCACCTTCACATGTTGCCAATTGGCTTGCTTTCGTTTTGTGGCTGATCACAGGAGGGAAACACAGACTTCTTCTGTAAGTCTAATTGCTTTGGCACAGAGTTTTAAAGGAACTACAGTGGTGCCTCGCTTAACGAGTGCCTCGTTTAGCGATGAATTTGCATAACAACGTATTTTTAAAAAAATTATATGCACCGTATAACGATGTTTCCTATGGGCGATTTTCGCTCAGCGAAGTTTGGGACCATGCTTCGCATAACGAATGCGATTTTAGGTCCCCTGCTTCACTTAACGATGTTTCTTTTTTCAATTTAAAAAGTGTCTTAGAAGGGTCAAAAACGGTTCTAAATGCTTGGATTCGTTAGAGGACCCCCTAAGTCATGTGCAAACCTGATTTGGCTTTGATCTGACTTTTCGTTAATTTATGGTGAATTTTTTTTTTTGGCCCATAGGAACCAATGGATCTGTCAAAATCTGACAGCTCCATGCTTTCCTATGGGGGAGAAAACAATTCACCATAAATTAACGAAAGTTCAGATCAAAGCCAAATCAGGTTTGCAGACGACTTAGGGGGTCCTCTAACGAACCCAAGCATTTAGAACAGTTGCTGAGTCTTCGTTAATTTATTGTGAATTTTTTCTTCCCCCATAGGAAACAATGGAGCTGTCAGATTTTGACAGCTGTCAAAAGTTGGGGGAAAAAAATTCACCATAAATTAACGAAAAGTCAGATCAAAGCCAAATTAACTTTTGCATCCATTTTAGAGGGTGCAGAAGCTAATCCAAGCATTTAAAACCATTTTTGACCCTTTTATGACACACTTAAATTTGCAAAAATTGACTTCGCAAAGCCATTGAAATGTATTGAGTCAGCTTCAATACATTCCAATGGAGGAAACATTGTATCGTTTAACGATGTTTCCTATGGGTTTTTTCGCTTAAGGACGGCAATCCGTGCCTATTGGAACGGATTAACCGGTTTCCAATGCATTCCTATGAGAAATGGTGTTTCACATAACGATGTTTCACATAACGGGTTTTTTTTTTGAACCAATTAAAATCATTATGCGAGGCACCACTGTATATTCCTGGAGGGTGCTGTCAGCTTCTAATTTTGAAACTATAGTTCAATTTTCAGTTTGTTCATCCCTTGCCATCCTTTCACCTAACGGATGTTCTGCCTTCTCTTTGTCTATTTCAGATACTACAACATGGCTCGTCTCAAGACAATATGGTTCTAAACAGTTAAGCAAAGAATTCCAGCTTAGTTGGCTTTGAGAAATTTAATTGCATTTTTTTAAAAAAAAAAAAATGTATGTTGGGTGACAACTGAGTGGATCTTACAACAAGCCTGGCATATCTTTTCTTAACATTTTTATCCCTCACATTTGCACATACACAAGCACACTCACAGCACTTAGCATCTCCATTGTTCTTGCCAACCAGGCAATGCTAATGCGCTTCAGACCTAACACAACAACTCTCCAATGAGATGGGCAATTTTAATTAATCTCCAGCACACAATCAAAGGCGACCAAGGCTTTTCCAAGGGGGAATAACTTGCTAGAACCACTGCAGTCGGCAAAGGCAGACCACAGAGCCAAGACTTCTTTCTTTCCTAAAAAAACAAATGGGGAAAGATTTCATTTTTTTGGCACAACAAAACACATATAGTCAAACTTGCCAATCATTTCCTAATCCTGGATCTTAAGCGAAAATAATGCAGCTTTCACATGACCTCCTAGAAAATATTGGCCACTTGAGTCTAAATGAACACAGCTGCAGGTTGGCAAAATGTCTATGCAAGAAGGGAAAACTTCAGTCCACTGCAGGGACTGAAATGGGAGTCTGGAAATTTGCCTGCATTTATTAACTCAAACCACCCTGCTATCATCCTGATATAAAACCCACAACTTGGGTCAACAGCTTCTAAGAAGTACGTAGATTAAGCATGAACAACATGTTCCAAGTTAATTAGTATACTATCAAGGCATTTGTTTGTTTCTTTCTTTGTTTAAAATTAAAGAGAGGTGTGTTACACACACACACACACACACACACACACACACACACACACACACACTTTTCCCAATGCCCAACATATAAGCACATCCCCATTCAGGCAAATCATCAGAAAACTACAGTCAGCCCTACCATCAGATCTCTAACTAGGGCAATGGGAGTTTGGCCCAAGGGTGCTTAAATTTAGAGGGCATAAATCCACTAATCAATATTTGATGTTAGAAGGCCACAAATTTGCCTGCCAAAACATATACACTGCCTCCAGGCCCCCTCCAACTCCCCAGGTAGAAGGAAGCCTAACGCAGGTAGGCTCAATGTGGAGCAAGAATGTATATGTGAATCTCATGAGACCCAAGCTTAGCCAACACAGCAGCAAAGCCCAAGGTACAAAAATAGCCAATTACAGTTCTGCCTTACCATTATCTAGAGCAGTGGTTCCCAACCTTGAGTAACTCAGGTGTCCTGCACTGCAACTACCAGAAATCCCAGACAAAAACAGCTGGTGGTGAAGGCTTCTGGGAATTGTAGTCCAAGAACATCTGGGTTACCCAAGATTAGGAACCACTAAACTAGAATAAGGTACTCACTTCAGGTTGTAGGTGCTGGAGAGGAACCATCATTGAATGCTTTAGCCTTTTCCTTCCGTGGAAGAGTCCAACGATTTGTTCCAAACACATATTGTTTATCCTGAACTGGCCTCCCACCATCAGGGATTGGAGGACACATCCAATCCCATCCCAAGTGTTGAAATAAAGTCCAGTGGCCAACCTAGCAGAGCTTCTGCATGAGAGATGAAGATGTCCTTGGCTGGTCTAGATATAATGCATCCCCCTATTCCTTCTCCTGGTGAGCTCTGCTCTATAGGATCCGGGGTAAAGCATAACGTCACACTTCTCTGTGATGCTAATGTCCAATCTTCTTTTGTCTTTTTACTTGACTACTTAGGTAACGGTCTCTTTATATCATGACAGGAATAAATCTGTTTTCTTTAATAATCTTCACTGAGTTTCTCTCTTCCTATTTCCACTGCCACAAACGTTCAGTTGCCCTTACGTGTGTGTATATTTGTCCCTTCACTCAAGCAAACATACCATCTCCACACAGCCAACTCGCAGGTATTGAGCTCATCAACACTCAGATTGAATAGAACAAATAAAAGTTCCACTCATTGTAGAACAGATAACATTTTATTAAAATAAGTGTTCGAATGTTGCTAATTCCTAAGCTTTACCTTCATCCAGTACAATCCTCCACTCTTTCCATTACTTCTTCTCTCCCCTCAGTCTGTCTCTGAGACTGCTCTCTCTGACCATTCTCTTAGACCCTACACTCCAAAATGACCCTGACCCCCATACCAGTCTGCTCTCTATAGCAGAGATGAAGACCTGCAAGTTGTGACTTGCTGTTGAGATCCCCACCTGCTCCTGCTGCCACCACTGCTGATAGGCTGGCTCCTGGAAAGGAAGATGGGCCTGCTGCCTCTGAGGATAGTGTGGCAGTGGTGGGATCAGGGGCAGGAAGGAAAGCCCTTGACTCAAACTTGAACTCAAGGCTTTGGACTCAGGACCATAGACTCAGACTCAGGACTTGGGTTCGAAGATTAGCCAACATATCTAGACTCAAGATTCCACCCTAAAACCACTCCCCTCCTTATCTCGTGTCTCTCCCAGCCAACTGGAATCATTCCTACCAACATTCCATGATCCTCACGTATCTCCTCCCATCAGATACTTACTAAACCATATAAACAAAACATCACACATGAAGCATCGCACATTATCTAGGAATTCTTCTTATTACAGAATGACCTCACTTGCTTTCTGTGTCTAGAACCCTATCTTTCTATTTTAACTGAATGGACAAGACTTTTGCAATCTGCATTTCACTTTAGGTGAGGTAGGAAAATCCCATGGAAAGAGAGGGAGGGAAAGACTGCCTAATTTGAAAAGAACTGGCTTTTATATTTCAAAGCCAATAAATACTCAAGTTGAACACAAGGACTAGAGATCTATTTTGTGAGATATTTGCTGATACATTTTCTATGAGTTACTGATGAGCTAATTTGGATAAGAGAAGGAATTGCTCCTTTATTGATTTATCCTTACCAGAAGAATGAGAGCTGTTTTTGAATAATAGTAAGAATTCTAGAACATGAACGCAATGTATTTCCTCTTATATTCTTACTAGCCACACTTAGTTATCTGAAATATGGATGGTGTATTTCCAATTCTGATTACTTTTTCTTTTTTCCCCCTACACAATAGATGGAGCAACACACTGATAAACCTATGAAGTTGTGGCTTGGCATTGTGGGGTTATCACTCGGGTTAATTAAACAGCATTTATGGGAACAATCATAATAAAAATTAGTTAATAGGTTTTCAGCCCTACGCAGAACAGACAGACAGACAGACAGACAGACAGACACACACACACACACACACACACACCAGTTATAGGCAAGTAACAGGTGCAAGTCTGAATAATGTCCTTTTCTTGACCAAAATGACATAGATCAGCAGTCTGTCAAATACGTGGTCCATTTAACATGACAGCTTTCCTATGTTCCTCCATGTTGGCTCCTTGAAATACACAGAAGCTTGTTCTGAAACTACAAGATGAAATCTTCCAATCTGAGGAGAATTGTGCTAAGTGTTTGACTCTGTTTGCAACTACAGAATTCCACAGCTTGAATGAAAAAGCTACTATTTCAGACTCTAACTCTCAGAATTCCTCAAGCAACAAAACTCACAAGCAAAAATGGCTAGGGAATACTGAGAGCTGTAGCCCTGAGAGTAGTTTTTCCTTATGCATTTAGAGTTCTTGACACCACTTTTTTATGGCACAAGAAATATACAAAACACTTTATTCTATCAGCTTCACAGTTGCCATGTTACGATAAATAATGATCATGCCCATTTACTTTCTATACTCTCGACTACATTGGGTCTTATTACTAAACAATGTAAGAAGCAGGACAGAAATGGATGACTGAACTGAACATTTTTAAATATGGGAAAATATATCTAGTATTTTATCATCTTTCTGTTTATCTGTCTATCCAGCCAAGGAGCCAAACCACAGAAACATGTAAAAAAGGAAATGAGTACTAGAGAGCAAAAAAGTGATGGGAGTCCAAAATCTCTTCTACATGGCCACGTGATCGATCACTCCATTTCTTGGCTTTATGAGCTCCTGTACTATCCTTCATTGATCCTCTGAGAGGCTTCAATTCCTCCTTCCCTAATGGCTCAAGAGGTGCGACTGCAGTGTTTCGGGGTATGATCATCACATGCCATGAAAGGGTAAGCTCCTATCCCCATATTCATGGCACCAGAGAACGATGGATGCATTTATTTTGTGCTGTGATAGTAAGAAGAACTTGGAAGGGAAATGCTGCTTGATTTGAATGACAGATAAGAGTTATGAGATTGATTCACCTGAATCCCTAGGCACCAAACAAGAACTTTAGTGGCATCAATACATAAAGCCATGGATTATATTCATTTGGTATATGATGTGTGATGGTCTGATCTGATAGCTTCATCAACAGCTGCATCTTCAATCTACCTTTTACTACCAAAACCCACCCTGTGCAATCCCTGTGAAACTATGTATGAGCACTTTGTAGAACAGTCAGTATAAATACAATGTATGTTTTCATTCCAGTTAAATTAGATAGCACACATTCTCCGAATCACCTTGCTAAATTAATGACGGCAGGGTGTCTCTGCCACATGGGGATACCTATTATGTTAAAAAAAATCCCAACATTTTTGCCCTTACAAATTCCTCTTTTCCAAACCATAGCACTCCTACATGCTGTTCTGAGTTAATTTAAATTGTTTTTTGGGTGCTTGTGTGTAACAGAGAGGAAGGAAGAATATATGGAAGAAGAAAAAACCCAGCAAGCTTTAGAACAGGGAGATATGTGCCGGGCAGGGGGGGACACCAGAAAATTAGCCAGTTGTTTGTAAGCACAAAAGTTCACACAAAAAACTACCACTTGCTTTCACCCATAACTTAAAAATATTAATTCACACATTAATGTGGAAATCCAAACAGACTACAACTAATACAAAGCATCCATAGGAAACACAATATACATTCATTGTTGCTTTGCTCCACTCCTGGACATACATAACTGCAAATGGCATCTTTTAAAAATGCTTCCGCTGCTTTAAAAGTGAAGAAAAAGAAAAGAATACATACCAATTCCCTTGGATGGAATGTTTCTTCTTGGCGGAAAATCAGAAGGTTTACTGTCCCTCCCATCTTGGTGCTCCTCAGCAGGGAGACAACTTCTTCTTGGGTTTTCCCTGTTAAATCCATTCCATTTACCTATAACAGAGAAAAAAAAATTAAATTCGGATGTCTACTAATGAAGCAGATTACTGGAACTGCAAGCCTGTACCAGGCAACGTTCCCTCAAATTTTCAGCCCCACTGGGTGGGGCTTCATCCCTCAGGTGTGACTACGCCCCGGTGCAGGGTTCAGTCATGATGTGGACCGAAGGAGTTGGAAAGGATTGCTGTGAGTGGATGGAGGAGGCGGAGCCCTGCACAGAGGGGGTGGAGCCACGCACGCTTGTTCACCTTAGAGGGAACCTTGGTACCAGGTGACACATTTTGTATGAGCAAAAATCTTTGGCTGTGTTTCAGGCAGCAATTCTATGCACCTTAGCTGGAAGAGAGTCAAACTGGCTTCTGACTTTTAAGTAAGGTTGGTCCTATATGAGTCCAGCACTTTTGATCGCTGCTTTAAATTGTGCCCTCACCACTGAACAAGATCGAATGGCACTTCAAATGAATTTCTCTTGTGGGACAAATACATTACTGGGTGCTTCTGCAGCTGTAAATATAAATATACAGTGGTGCCTCGCATTACGATGTTAATTTGTTCCAGCGAAATCGCTGTAGAATGAAAACATCATAAAGCGATTTTTAAAAGCCCATAGGAACGCATTAAACCCCAATTAATGCGTTCCTATGGGCTTGAAACTCACCGTCCAGCGAAGATCCTCCATAGCGCGGCCATTTTCGCTGCCCGTGCAGCGAGGAATCTGTCCCAGAAAGCAGCGGGCGGCCATTTGTTTTACCCAGTGGCCATTTTGAAACCACCGATCAGTTGTGCGAAAATCTTCATTTTGCGATAATCGGTTAGCGAAGCAGGTAACTGATCGTCGCAAAGTGAAATTCCCCCATTCAGACCATCATTTTGCGATCGCTTTTGCGATTGCAAAAACTTCATTATGCGATTTCTTCGTTAAACGAAGCGCTCGTCTTGCGAGGCACCACTGTAATGTGTTTATATATATATTCGGAAGGTTAGCAGAAAGGTGCGAATTCACTTCGGTCAGAAGAAGGTAAGGGATTGTGATTCATACAATGCTAAAGGAAAACGCTTAAGGACAAAGAAAATTGACACTTTTATCTCTGAGAATTCATAGAGAACAAATGATATCCTAGGAGACAAGGGGATGGCAAACAGGGATTTTTTTTTCCTGGTGCTGCTGTCCTTGCGAAAAAAGTGTCAAGAGGAGGCCAGAAAATTGTAGAGAAGCAATCGCCTTAACTTCAATGCTCATCAAGCTATCATAGCAGCTATCAGATAAATGAGGCATCCTTTCAGATGAAGGATATTCTTGTCTTGGCAGGAGAAGACAAGAAGAATGACCAGGAAAGTAGTAGGGTTGACGCTACTACTACTACCACCACTACCACTACCACTACTACTACTACTAGAAGAACACTAATACTAGTATAAGCAAACTAGCAGCAGTGTTGACAGTGTTCAGCATTTTGGAGCTGATCTTGTAGAATACAGAGCAGCACATAACTGATAAATAGCGTGTATCTATTAATGGCATTTATTTTGTTCTCATGGACCGATATGGCAATCCTTGTTTGTCCATAAGAACCATAAATGCAAAGTAGCCCTAAAACAATCAGTGTCGTTCTGGATTTACTTGAACCCTCATAGGTCCTCTCCAGTTCAGGAGTTCTAAAATTATTGTTAAATTCTACATCTTTTAGTGGCACTGATCCATAAAAGGAGATCTTCCCCATCTTCACTATGTTGAAGAGTACTTCCTCTCATAAACATAGCCACTGTGGTAGCCAAAAGAAGTCAGCAGCATCAGCAGCTTAACCCTCAATACTGACAGCTTCATCGCTGCCGTCTGCCATTTTGTTCAGTCCTCTGGCACTTTGTTCCAACTTCACAGGCATCAGTCTCACAGAGCAAGGACTTCTCCTGGTCTCTCCTAAGGGTGTCAACCTTGGCCCAAAAGCCCTAAACCTCTGAGTTAAATTATTACATTTAAGTGCCAAAGAGAGCAAACAAATAAAGCAAGCCAAGGAACAATTTCTCTTCTTGACATTTTTGGCCTACCATGTATATCTGTCTCACCAAACCTGGTGTCTGTTTAGACCTTTTTGAATGTAACTCCCCAAATCACTCACTGAAAGTGGTGAGTGATTTGGGGAGTTACATTCAAAAAGGTCTAAACAGACAAAGTCGCCCAACTCTAGAATAAAGGAAAAGCTGAAAATATGGGTGAGCTGTGGTAACTTTGTATGTTCTTTTCCAAAATCATCTGAGCCAACGAAGGTTTTTTTAAAAACAACCTAACAGCCCAATACACAAAATCTGGTTTTACAGGAATGATATGACCGAATACCGTTTTTGTTACACTAGAACCATTTCTGCCATGTAGGGATTTTAGGAAATTTCCACCATGGAATATTTTAAAGACTTTTCATGGGCACAAATTGGTGTGTGTGTGTGTGTGTCTAATATAGCAGTCCCTGCTTCTGGGCAGGGTGTCCCAAACAAGATAACTCCTGAGTTTTATGCCCTTAGGTTTTTCATGCGCAGGTAACAACTTTTGTAATGTGACAAAAGAAGTGCATTAAGAACCAGTGTGGTTTTTTCCCCCTTGCAGACTCTAAAGGAAGTGGCAGACTCTTTGAAGCAGTACAAAATTTGCTCTGAAAATACCTTCATGCACTCTTCTGAAAATACAGAGAAAATGTGCAAATGCATTTGCCACTTTATACTTAAGCATTTTTAAACTGAACTATGAGGGCAGAGGCTGCCATTTCTCATTCCTCCTTAGAAATTACTGAAGCAATGGTGCATGAAGGAGTTAAAACATAAGAAGCTCGCCCCCTACGAAAAAAGAGAATTTTATGGGACATTAATTATGATAGCACTGTTAACCCACGCACAGCTTTTTATCACCATGTTCTTCCTCTGCTTCACTTATCCAAATGGTCTTTTAAAAAACTGAGTGTAGATTAGATTTAGTACAAACTTTTTTTAAAAATATGGTTTATAAGTGAGGGGCCAGCCGAGCACTCCGGGAGCCACTGGCAGGATGAGCATGATCGGCGCCATGGCCGGACACATGAGTGGATGGTCTGGTCCTGGGGACGGACCCTTTTTAGTGCCAGCTGCAACTGGGATATTCGTATTCATGTACAAATTCGTATATGAATACCCCATCTCTAATCTGCACCTCCCTTGATGAAACAGCCCTGTTTGAAACAGCCCTGCCTTTTAAAATCATGTTCCCCAGCAAGTACAAATACAGCTGTTTTACAATATACATTAGGGGTAGATAGCGTTATGTAAAAAAGAACACATTATGGAATTATATAGGTGCAAGGGACAATCCTTGTTCCCAATAAAATGCTGTATTCCCCTCTGTTACTCTACTCGAATTGGAAATCATCCAGCAAAACATTTTTTTTAGAATCTGTATTTTCAAACTGAGAGAAAGAGCTATATATTTTTTTCAGATCAAGGAAAGTTGCTGCCTGGCACACCGGCGTTTATTAATACTATTATTCAGAAAGTGTGAAGATCAGGAGAGAACCTAGCAGGAAAATGGTAGGAAATTTGCTGAGATGTAAAGTAAAATGAAAAGTAAGCTGTCTGCTGAAAGGACTCGTAGACATTGCAACAGTGCTGCAGCATTTCATCACCTCAATGAGCCGGTCTCCAGCCTTTAATCTTCCATCTTGAATAGCTGCGCCTCTTGGAAGGATATTTTTCACATAAATTGGAGCAGAGCCACCAATGGGAACGTCTCTTGAAGTGATGCTAAATCCTAGGCCTTCTGTACCTGCATAAATGATTTAAAAGTGCTGTAATTTTCCTGATGCTGGACTATACATGACTTATTAAAGAACTTTTGATTCATAGGAAGTCACCTACACAAACTTTCTTTCTTTTCTCTCTTTCTGTCTTTCTTTCTTTCTTTCTCAACATTTAAGGAAAACATAGAAAACACTCCATCCTGTTACTCTAAATGGAAACATTTAAATCATGCATCATACACACAGCTACACACACCCACACATACACACTTTCCTTCATTTACGCAAGTCACTTTTCTCATGAAGTTTTATTTTTAACCTAAAAGCAAATTGAACCTTTCAGTATATTACCTGGTTGAAAATCCCTAAGAGATATAATAATAATAATAATAATAAAAACCTGAAACAAAAGTCCTGCTGCCTTTTTTCATTGTAAGAGTTTATTCATTCATTGTTCATCTGCATTCTTTAGTGACACAATTTTCAGATACCTGAGTGTCTTCAGTACAGTTAGTCACAACATACAATCTTCAGTTCGAAGGACCTGGAATGATTCTTTATTTTATTTACATTTCTTTCCTGACCAACTAGTAGCAAAGCAACTGCTCTGGAAGGCTAACAGAGCAACATCAAAATAAAATAATAATAGGAATGAAAACAGCAATAACAAAAATTCTGAAAATGCAGGAAAAAATCAGAAAAGCAATCAGGTTAAACATGATAATGCTAATAAACATGGTTATGTTGATAATCTTCTCCTATTCCTATTTGATGGTTTCCTTTTTCCATTTTCCATTAGGTAACAAATATCCAAGAATATAATAAAGATATCCAAGCATGTAATAATTAAAAATGCAAGATAATAAAATGGTTCCTACAGGAAAACAGAGTTTGCTTAGTTTTTCCTAGTCTCTCTTAGGAAAATCCTATGCTCACCTGCTGCTTTGCTATCTGATTTGTGCTATGCACATGCACTGAAATCATGATGAAGTTCTGCTTTGTTGTAAGTAATAGCTTAGGATAGTTAGCTTTCTTTTTTCTGTGGGAACTGTTCTGAAACTGCCTTTACCTCTGATATCTTTTAAGTGTTCTTTTGCTCCACAACTTTTTCGAACTGCTTTTGCAAATTTTGGAACAACTTTTTGAAACTGTTTGGACTTTATTCAGCTTCTGTTTGCCACACTTTCAGCAAACATAATAACATTCTACAGCAGTTTGGTTATTTTGAAAAAGTTGGGTTGGGTACTAAAGAATGGCCTTACCCTTGAACACCTATTGAATTCCATACTTTTGTGGGTACTTTAGTATTCATACCTGGCAAGGCTAGCATACAAGTTACAATGTTCAACCTTGTTAATTTTGGTAACTCCCTGGAGTGCTGAGGAGTCAGTGTGACTCAAAGTGAGGAGAGGTACATCAATGTTTCCTCTAAGCTGTGTGGCTGCACCTCCCTCAATGCAGCATTGTTCCCCCTCCGCACACCCACAGTGAGTTCTGGTTGTATTCAGAACCCTGTGCAGGGTGAGGGGAGAGCACATGTGGGAAGGCGGGGACAAATGTACAGGAGGGTGGAGTCATGCATGTGAAGGGTGTGTTCTACTTTTCAGCCCCACCCAGCAGGGCTGAAAATGAGAGGGAATGTTGGGTACCAGACAGGAAGAGTTCCTCCAACCATCAGCACATCTGGCCCTCTTAGAAGGTATCCATCAGGAAAAGCATGAGCAGTGTGGATGAGTAATTTTTATAGGTCTCTGTCCTGGCCATAATCTTGACATTAAGCATGTGCTTTACCTTCCCCCCCCAAGAGAGAAAACTGATGTTGTTATTTAACTGTGAGCAAAATAAATACTCACTGATAGCAACAGATAGCTTGATAATTTTTGTTTAAAAAGCCTTTTATATATAAACAGGAGGCCCAGGTCCATGATGATCTTTTTAAATGTAACAATCACAAAGTCTAACAACTCTCCTGAGCCAAATGCAGAGAGTTTATATGATTACACTGAGATACAACATCTGAACACTACAACCCATTGACTTAAATCTGCTTCCTCATCTTAGTAGTTCCCAAAATAGTTTATAGATAGCACTAAAATATTTTCTGCCTGCATACTGCCCCCCCCAACCTGTATGTTTTATATTCATAGTGTTGATAAATGTTGCACTGTTCCCGAGGCAGGATAAGTTTTCATATTATTTATAAAACATTTAAAGAGCTGCTGAGCACATGAGGCAGCTTGAATTATGGAAGCTTACGATATAACAAGAATATCAAAACAGTCATATTTCAGCACCTTCTCCTATGAGTTTGCTAATACACTACACAAATCCCATATTTTCATTCTCTTAATGAGAAGTAACCATATTGTGTGAATCCAGTTATTTACTGATATTTCTTGATGAGAATTGACATTTATACTCATTGTTGTCCAAGGAATCTATCTTGGGTTGTTCTGCATTGTGTGAATACAACTATTATTGTTCAGCTTCTTCGTAGGAAAACTGACAGGAAAAATATCAAATGGATTAAAAGCACTGGGTCCATGACCTCTGTTCAAGTGCTGGCTGGAGGATTTTGGGAGTTGTAGTTTAAAAAAATCACAACTTTTCCAACCTCTGTTCTTAATTAACTGTGGGTCCAGTAGGTCTCCTATATTCGGAGATAGAATACATTGCATTCCTCTCTAGTGCTTAACTCCAGTGTTTACCTATAATCCAGCTTTTTCATATAATGCTATAAAAAGAACCCAGCCCCCAGTGACACTCCATTTTGCTCTGTTTTCTAATCACATAGTTACATGTCGCACCTTGTGCAACTTTTTCTTACTAAGCAACCGTGTTTATTACTCATATTCCATTAATTTGGGCCCTGTTGGCAAAACGTGCGTCCCGGAACCTGGGGTGAATTTTTCTGTCTCCCTGCTGTTTGCGGATGCAGAGTTTCCTCCCTTTTGAAATCTAATAAAAACAGAATGATACATTATTTATCATTACTCCGTGAAAACATATGGCAGGCTCCACTGTTTGTCAGGCTGAGCTGGTGAATATATATCAACGTAAAGAACAAACGTGAGGGAAGTATAAGGGAAGGGTTTTGGCTGGAAAATAAAATGTGGAGAAAGGAACCAGCATGTGGTTCATGAGCAAAATGCAAAATCAGAGTGGGATGAGATGTTTATTCGGCTACTAATGTGTCAAAAAAAGAGATGAGTGTTTGACTCCTCCAGATTCTCCCACAGGCTGAGCACTACAGGATAGGGAGCAAGCAGAAAACCACTAAATTATCCTGGCTTAATCTCCTCTCCAATGAAAGTTATAAGGGCCTGTTTTTACTTTCCTCCTGCCCTCCTCACGCCAACAAGCAAGGGCGTAAGAAATGCTTGCACATTTCCTCGCTTTCCATGAAATGTTCTTGTCTTTCACATCTGTCCAATAAAATATGGTTCACCTCTGTGATATGTTTTGTTTCTGCACAAGTATGCAGTGATCAGCACTGTTTTCTTATTTCTTGTAGGGGTGGACCCTAAATATACCCCCCCAACACATTTGGCACATGAAAATTTGTGGAAAACTATTTTTGTGCAAAAATTCAAGTTTTTTTTCCCACCTCAAAAGACACTTTAATGATTTTTTTTCCCATGAAGAAGTGCTGAAATGCCAAAAATCCACACAAATGGGCAAAATATCACATACCAGCAAGAAAACACTGAACCTTCTCGCTTTTAAGAATGACATATGCAACAATTTACGCTCCTACTAGTTCATCGCAGGTTACAAGCCACCATGGGGATGTACAGTCATGGCCCAAACCATTGGCACCCATGCAATTCTGTCAGAAAATGAAACCTTGCTCTCAGAAAATTGTTGCAAATGTTTTGGTACTCACATGTTCATTTCTTTGGTTTGCATTGGAACAACACAAAAAAAAAAACAGAGAAGAAAAGTCAAATCTGATACAATCCCACATAGAAACCCAAAAATGCACTGGCCAAAATTATTGGCACCCTTAACTTAATATTTGGAAGCATCTTACACCTCTCTACTGGAATTTTGGACCACTCTTCTTTTGCAAACTGCTCCAGAGCCTTCAGATTTGAAGGATGCCTTCTCCCAGCTACTGTTTTGAGATCTCTCCACAGGTGTTCGATGGGATTCAGATCTGGACTCATTGCTGGCCATTTCAGAACTCTCCAGCGCTTTGTTTGCAACCACTTCTGAGTGCTTTTTGAAGTGTGTTTCGGGTCATTGTCCTGTTGGAAGACCCGAGACCTCTGGTGGAGACGCAGCTATCTGACACTGGCCACTATGTTGCATCCCAAAATTTTTTGGTAATCACCAGATTTCATGATACCATTCACACAGTCAAGGCATCCAGTGCCAGAAGCAGCAAAGCAACCCCAAAACATCTTTGAACCTCCACCGTGTTTGACTATAGGAACTGTCTTTTCTTTGAATGACTCATTTCTTTTTCTGTAAACAGTGCCATGATGTCCTTGACCAAAAAGCTCTACTTTTTTCTCATCTGTCCACAGTACCTTCTTGCAGAAGGATTGTGGTTTTGTTACATAAGTTTGGGCATACTCCAGTCTTTCTTTTCTATGCCTTTGTGTCAGCAGTAGTGTCCTCCTGAGTCTCCTTCCATAGCGTCCCTTTTCATTCAGATGGCGACGGATAGTGTGAGCTGACACTGTTGTACCCTGTATCTGCAGATCAGCTTGAATTTGTTGGGAAGTTAATCTGGGTTCTGTATCCACCATTTGAACAACCCTATGTTGTAATTTTTTCAGTAATTTTGCTCTTCCGTCCCCATCCAGGGAGGTTAGCTACAGTGCCATAGACTGTAACCCTCTTGATGATATTACACACAGTGGGCACAGGACCATTAAGATCTCTGGAGTTGGACTTGTAGTCTTGAGATTGTCGATGTTTTTCCACAATTTTTTCTCTCAAATCCACAGACAACTCTTTACTCTTCATTCTTTTCTCCATGCTCAGTGTCACACACAACACATTTATTTATTTATTT